CGATAGAGCTTGCGTACCCGAGGCAACGCATAATTATTGCCACCACCGCAAGAAATTACACACTGCAAAATCCTTTGAAGCGTAACGACGCACTTGTCGATTATCGTGCGTGGTAAGCCTCGAAAAGCGTCTTCCACTACAGCGATCAACCCCTGGAGTTTATGCATAGGGTAGCGATACTGAACACTCTGAATAGCATTGAACAGACCAAGATCGAGGACGTTCATGTCCGGCGAGCGAGGTGGCTGACACGTCGTCTCTATCGTCCAGCCGTGCTCGATCCCGGCCTCAAGAATATCCCCCGTTGTCTTCAGCAACATGTGGTCCAGCGTTGTCTTGCTGCACCTTAATGCACAGCGATTTTCTCCCTACAGTACGATAAATATTGATCACAATAAAAAATAATTAATCAATTGCTTTACCTGGCCAAAGTTGCCGAATTACTGGAAATACTTTTTTCCTTGAGCATCTTCACGTACACCTTTCCCGTCATGTTGACGTTTTTCACCTCAATAGTGCCTTTTCCTCTATTTGCCGAGCTTCGTTGAGCACGCACGTACTCTACAATCGGCCAAATTCCGATTTTTCCGTCGAAATAGGTCTTGCGTATAGCGTCGTACCGCGACCGCGCTACGGCTGCAAGAAACATGACCTTGCCAATGTAGCGGCGGTTGGGGCATGCTTGATAAGGTGCAAGCTCATCCTTGGTGAGGTAATATCTTGTCGATACCTTGTATAAATTGAACCATTTTTCACCTACGTGTACGTAGTCATACATGTGATGCATTCTATAGTCTCTTCCTCCTATTAATAAGAAACAAACACAAAACAAGGTTAGTTTTATAGAATTTTTAAGTATTGCAGCAACGTACCAAATGCTCGCTCCACATGAGCAAGAGCGAAAGCCAAGTGGCGTGCCTTGTACACGTCTGTCATCTTCGGCTTAACACGAGTCGTAGCACGACGAAAGACACCTGCAGCCAAGTGGCGCGTCAGCGTCGTCTTAGGAATGCCAATAGCCGAGGCGAGGCAGCGCAACGTCTGGCGCGCGCTCATGGGCGCTTCATGAATTTTGCCAGCGATTTCCGCTGGAGAAAGTTGTGTGCGTCCACGGGCTCTTGGTTTTCGAGGGGCAACAAGAGCTTCGAAGTTGTTGCGGTTGCTTCATATCGCGGACACTTTACGGCGAGAGATCTTAAACCATTCAGTCGCAGCTTGAATACAGCCTCATTGCACTTTGTCGTTGCTTGACCTAACAGCTAAAAACAGAGCGACAGCTACGCGGACCTGCGGAGATATTTTTTTGGCATCCGGCGTGCGCATTGTGTTGGGATGAAAGAGTAGGAATTAGTGGTTAGTTTCCGTTGAAATTACTGGCGCGAGAGAGCACGTTGCCGTATTGCCTGCTGGTTGAGTTTTGGCCAATAAAACGTATTGTGTGCACCACAAAAATACCAATCGCGCATATTATCGTGGACCAGAGAAGTACTGTTTTTGATAGGTGGAGCCATAATAAAAATCCTTCAAATGTTTTATTCCATGCGTGATTGAACTGTGTGTACATTCTGAGAGAGCAACGCACTTCTTTTCACGCCAGTTGCGGAGGGAGGGTAATTTACCCCCCCCCCC